AGCAACACATGCTGCACCAGCTGGGCCCCTTGTCTCTCTGCCTGGCCAGGGCTTCCCTGTCCCAGCTGCAGAGCCCCTCAGGGTCTGCTCGTCCAGGCCCCAAAGGCCCATCTCTGGGGGAGCAAAGTCTAGGGCAGGGCTGGAGACAACAGAGCGTCCCACAGTGAACCCCTCAGCTCACCCCCAGCCAGCCTGGCTCCCCTCAGAGCACCTTTCACTGGGCAGAACTGCAGAGGCACCCACAGGGGAAAATGGGCAGAAAAGCCTCCAGGAACATCCACAGGAAGGGCTGTGAAGTTGGGGGCACAGAAGGAGGAAGGCTTCAGTTTCCCCAGGTGAGTGGGTGGGTGGCCCTGCTGGGACCTCTTTGGGTGCCTGGGAGCTTAGTAAAGGTAAAGGTAAAGGTAAAGGCCCTCCCGTTGATCGTCGATTTGCTCGAGCGGGCCCAGTAACGTCTCCATTGGAGACTTTTTGTTGTTACTGTGTCTGGCATATCGAATACTCTCGGTAGCTTGCCGGGCTCTCCGAGAGGGGCGGAGGAATCGAACTCGGGTCGGCCATGTTGGCCACTTGTAAGGCGAACGCCCTACCCGCTGTGCTATCGCTCCAGCTTAGTAAGAGGCAGTAAAAGGCCTAGAATTTTTTCTTTTCTTTTTGGGTCACACCTGGCGATGCACATGGGGTTACTCCTGGCTCTGCACTCAGGAATTACTCCTGGTGGTGCTCAGGGGACCATATGGGATGCTGGGAATCGAACCTGTGTTGGCCGCTTGCAAGGCAAACGTCCTACCCGCTGTGCTATCGCTCCAGCCCCGAAAAGGCCTAAATTTGGTGGTAGAGGGTGGGGGCGGTCCAGTAGCTGCTTGGGGGCACCCAAAGGGTGCTGGGTGGTCTGTGGTGCCCAGCTGGAGGTGTGCGGTGGGGGCGCCCCCGCCTCCCTGGCGAGCATCGATTGGTTCTGCACCCATTAGCGGGGGCGGAAGGCCGCTCATCAATCTTTTAAGGACTGACCGGCCGCGGGGTCGGAACTGTGTGCGGGCAGGGCCGACTGGCGACCAGACAGTTTCTCCTGCACTATTTTTACCTCCGGAAGGCCTGCTGCCCCCACAGACTGGAGCTGGTGGGAGGGGGTCCCCGAGCTGGGGTCCCAACTGGCCCTGCTCCTCTCCCCCCCCCCCCCCCCCCCCCCCCCGCCATTCTGACTGGTGTACAACAAAGCCAGACAGCTCGCAGGAATGTCCCCAAACCTCAGGGTGATGGGGGCCTCCTGAGACAACACCAAGGAAGTGACAGCAGCTTGAAGCTGTCTGCCTGGCCCTGGCTCCAGCACCCCCATTGTGTGGGTGGGTGAGGCCCCGCCCAGCAACCTGCACTCAGTGACCAGGCGTCTCCTGGTCTCCAAAGCAGGAGGAAGGCTTCCTGGAAGAAGATGACTTAAGAGCTCTAAAAAAACAGCAGGAGGGACCGGGAGAGTTTACTTGGTGGTTGGGGGAGGGGTTTGCTTTGCAAGCAGCTGATCAGGGTTTGAGCCCTGGCCTCCCACAGGACCCCCTGAGCCCCTCAGGAGTGATCCCTGAGCGCAGGGCCAGGAGTCAGCCCTGAGCACAGCCAGATGTGGCCCGAAAACCAAAAAATAAAAACGAGGCAGGAGAGGGGAGGCCCGTGGGGCAGACGGAGGAGGCAGCTGGCAGGTGGCCAGCGGGAATTCCCAGGCTCCTCTGGAGGCGGGAGTGCCCTGGGGCAGCTGGATTAGATCTCTTGCCAAGCCCAACTCTTAGAGAGAGGCCGGTGTGGGCACCCTCCCTGCCCCCCGGCCCTGGGCACTCCTCCAAGCAGAGCTCTGGCGCCCCTGCCATGACCTCTGCACTGAACCCCAGGAAACCTGCAGACAGGCTCAGAGGGTGGGGCGCCCAGTGAGTATGGGGCCCCCACAGTGCTGGCCCCAGGACAGTGGGGGCCGGGACCCCTCCCTCCTGCCCCCGGCCCTGGGCACAGCCAGGCCCTCCATCTCCCCTTTCACCTCTGGCTGCGAAGCCTCAGCCGTGTGCTAGTGTCTTGGGCGCCTGGGACAAACCTGCAGCGGGGGTCTCGGGGAAGCCAAGGAGGGCTTCCTGGAGGAAGTGGTTAGAAGGATAATTCCCAAAGCACCAGTAGGAGTTAGATCAGGGCGGGGTAGAGGGCCTGCAGTAGCCAAGCTAATGCCGGGGTAGGGGGGCGCTGGGGTCGACTCGGCTGTTCCGCAGAGAGAGCCCAGGAACCTCTCAACCTCAGGCTCAGGGCTGGCCTGAAAAGCTGCTTGGGAGCTGATACCAAGACCCTCTCCAGCCGGGGGCCTGCCAGGGACCCCTGGCCCAGGGCTGGTGGTGATAGTGCCATGGAAGAGGGGCAGCTAGTTTTGTTTTTTTTGTTTTTTTTTTTTTTTGCTTTTTGGGTCACACCCAGCGATGCTCAGAGGTTCCTCCTGGCTCTGCACTCAGGAATCACTCCTGGCAGTGCTCAGGGGACCATATGGGATGCTGGGAATCGAAACCAGGTTGGCCGTGTGCAAGGCAAATGTCCTACCCGCTGTGCTATTGCTCCAGCCCCAAGGGGCAGCTAGTTTTACCAGGTGTGGAATCAGAGCTGGGGTCCAGGGAAGCGACCTGCCGTCCACCTCAGTTACCCTAACAGCTGCAGTGGCTCCTCACCCCACTGACTGTCCATTGCACTGTGCCCCCAGAGCTGATGGCCATCGGGGGGGGGGGGGTGTGCCAGGGAGGCAGCCCAATCCTCGAATGAATGGACACTGACGGTGACCAGGATTGCTAGGGAATGGCAGAGCTGGGACAGTTTCCCCGAGTGGGTGATACGCCCCCACCCTTGCTGGACGCTGGGGTGATCCAGGCAGGGCACGAGCGGCCGTGAGTGCATAGGGAGGACCTCTCTCTCTGCACCAGATGGAGGGGAGCAGGGGGCTGGAGGGGTGTGGTACAGTGCAGAGGGCACCAGCCGCCACTGTCAGTCCTGACACCACACGGTACCCCAGACGCTACCAGGAGTGATCCCCGAGCACAGAGCCAGGTGTAACCCTGAAATTAAAAGTAAAATGTAGGTGGGGAGGGACCAGAGTGACAGTGCAGTAGTTGACCCGGCTTTAATCCCAGCATCCCATAGGGTGGTGCCCCGAGCACCACCAAGAGCTAGCCCTGAGCACTACCGGGTGTGGCTCTGCCCAAAAACGTGGGTGGTATTACTCCATTGGGGTGTGACCCCAAGTCCTAGAGCTGGTGTGAGTCCGGATCACCAGTATGTGTCCACAGACAGCTGTGGCAGGTCTGCTTTATTTATTTATTTATTTATTGCTTTTTGGGTCCCACCCAGTGATGCACAAGGGGTTACTCCTGGCTTTGCACTCAGGAATTACTCCTGGCAGTGTTCAGGGAACCATATGGGATACTGGGAATTGAACCCGGGATGGCTGCATGCAAGGCAAACGCTCTACCTGCTGTACTGTTACTCCAACCCAGGTCTGCTTTAAAGAACACTCCCGAGCATCCCTTCATTCATGCGTTCATTCATTCACCTCTTCAGCCGTTCATTCATAGTTTGTTCATTCATGTATTCATGCGTCCATTCATTCATCCAGAGGCCTGGCGAGAGCACAGCAGGGAGGGTGCTTGCCTTGCATACTGTCCACCCAAGTTTGTATCCCCAGTACCCCATATGGTCCCCAAGCCCACCAGGAGAGATCCCTGAATGCAGAGCCAAGAGTAAACCCCAAGTAGGAGAGAGTGTGGCCCAAAAGCCAAAACAAACATTCATTCATCCACCCATTCATACATCCCTGTATTCATCCACCCGTTCATTCATTCATCCACCCATTCATTCATCCATCCACCCATTCATTCATCCATCCACCCATTCATTCATCCACCTATGCATCCATCTACCTGTTCATTCATCGATCCATCCATTCATTCATTGATTCATCCACCCACCTATTCATTCATGTATGTGTTCATCCACCCATTCGTCCATTTGGGCTTAAAACATGAGTCACATGCCCAGAACCTGAAAAACGGCCACATCAAAATCCCTGGCATTCTCGGGGGAAGAGTGGGATGGGGAAAGGACACCCTTCCCCAGCAAGTGAGGCCCGCAAATCCCATGGGAGGAAGCGTGGTGTGACTTGGGGTACAGCGGGAGCTGTTCTGACCCACAGAGGAGGAACTTGCAGAAGTTTGAATGGAGGGGGGGGCACTCTGACAGGTGCAAGAGAGCACGGTGAAGGAAACCCAGGCACAGGTGTGGCCAGAGCTCAGCAGACAGTGGGAGAGGAGTGGGTGCAGGGGGCCTGTAGGACTTTGGCTTTGACCTGGAACAGAAGGGGCACCTGCTGTAAAATTTGAGCAGCAGGGGAGGGGGGACTTGCGGGGGGGGGGGAACTCTGTCTGTGTGGGGGGTGATGCTGATGAAACATTAGCAGCACCTGGAGTGAGGAGCAAGCTGGAGCAGAGTGAGGCTAGGGAGCCGGTAAACTAAAGTGCTGCGGCCTTTCAGAGAAAGGGGTTTGAGGCCCCGGACCCCTGCGTATTTCAAAGGTAGTGCCAAGAGTCCGGCGCTTGGCTTCTGGTCACCCCTACTCTTTGGAGCCCTCAGTTGAAGGTGGAGGTCACTGAGGTCAAGATCCGAGTGCTCTCCTTGGCGAACCTTAGGCATGACCTTAGGGTGCCCCAAGACAGTGACTGTGATTCCAGGTCCTGATGGTGGGTGTGTGTGGTGTGTGTGTGTGTGTGTGTGTGTGTGTGCAGTCACTCCTGGCGGACAGCCACGCGCACTCTCCCTCCTGCTGTCCTATCACCGTGGTCTCTGCGCGTTGGATCAGGGGTCCAGACTGTCTTCCTCCCTCCCCCCCCCCCCCCCACACACAGACGGGCCCCGGGAGCGGGGCTGGAGGCGGAAGAGGGGGACGGGGCTGTGGTTCCGAAGTTCACTGTCGCCCTCTTCTCGCCCGCAGCTGCCCGGGGGCTGCCATGGGACGGGAGCCATGAACGGTGGCGCCCCGGGCCCCGCCGCGGCCCCGGGCCCCCCGGACTGGCGGCAGTTCTGCGAGCAGCACGCGCGCGCCGCGGCCGCCGACTTCGCCCGCCACTTCTGCCGCTTCGTGCGCGAGCACCCGGCCTGCGACGCGCCCGACGCCGGCGCCTCCTTCTCGCGCCACTTCGCCGCCACCTTCCTGGACGCGTTCGGGGCCGAGGTGCGGCGCGCGCTGGGGGCGCGGGGCCCCGACGGCCCCGACGGCGGCGGCGCGGAGCTCAAGGCGGCAGCGCGCGGCCACTCGCGCAGCTCCGAGGACGTGTCGGCCGCGCCGCGCGCCCGCGTGCGCAAGGGCTTCTCGCTGCGCAACATGAGCCTGTGCGTGGTGGACGGCGTCCGCGACATGTGGCACCGGCGCGCGTCGCCCGAGCCCGATGCCGCCGGCGGCCCGCGCGCCGCCGAGCCCCAGGCCGAGCCGCGCGACAAGTGGACCCGGCGCCTGCGGCTGTCGCGGACGCTGGCGGCCAAGGTGGAGCTGCTGGACATCCAGCGCGAGGGCGCGCTGCGCTTCATGGTGGCCGACGACGCGGCCGCGGGGCCCGGGGCCGCCCAGTGGCAGAAGTGTCGCCTCCTCCTGCGGCGCGCCGTGGCCGGGGAGCGCTTCCGCCTGGAGTTCTTCGTGCCCCCCAAGGTGAGGCCACCCGCCGCCCCGACCGACCCCTGTCGCAGGAGGTGGAGGTGGGGAGACCGGAACCCCGGGAGTGGTGTCTGTGATGAAAGGGAACAGCTCCGGGGCTGGAGCAATAGCACAGCGGGGAGGGTGTTTGCCTTGCAATTGGCCGACCCAGATTCGATTCCCAGCAATCCCATATGGTCCCCTGAGCACCGCCAGGGGTGATTCCTGAGTGCAGAACTAGGAGTAATTTCTGTGCATCGTTGGGTGTGAGCCATAAAGAAAAAAAAAAAGGGAACATCTCCTGGGGGGGACAGTTTCGTCCTGAACCCCCCCCCCCACCCATATAACTTAGATGCTCAGCTTCTGGTTCCATCCCACACACACACATCTTCTGAGCCTTCAAGGGAGCATTTTGAGGTCTCCCGAGGCTTAAAACCAGAGTGCTCCCCTTGGCAAACCCTAAGGATGACCTTGGGGTTCCCCAAGACAGTGACTGTGATGGGTGGCCTCTCCAGGCACTGATGGTGTGTGTGTGTGTGTGCGTGTGTGTGTGCGTGTGTGTGTGTATGTGTGCGTGTGTGTGTATGTGTGACAGCCTCTAGGATTGATTATCACCCCTTCAAGCCCTGAAGTGGGAGGAGAGTTGCATCATACCAGGCGATGCTCAGAGGGAACTCCTGGCTCTATACTCAGGAATCACTCCTGGCAGTTCCCGGGCGATCATAAGAGATGTCCAGAATTGAACCCAGGTTGGCTGCGTGCAAGGCAAACGCCCTCCCCGCTGTACTATCGCTCAGGCCCCTGTGGGAAGAGCTCTGAGTGTGGCAATCTAGGGGGTGTGAGCCAGCAGGCTGTCAGCCCCCTTCTGTAGCCCCAGAAGTTGGTGACACATGGAGGGGTTACCCCAGGCCAGGCAGGAGTCTGCAGTCCCTGCCTAGCGCCAGGTGGCATCCTTCCCCTGCCCACAGGCCTAGTCTGGTTTTAGATGACCCACCCCTGAGCTGTCAGCCCCACCCTACCTCCTCGGATGGCACCAGCAGAGCCCCAGGGTATGATTTTGGGGCTCATTCATGGTGACCCCCGCCTGGTCGGGCACACAGGAGAGCAGTGCCTGTGACTGGAACCCTAAGCCAGGGGTTATCATGGTCCCCAAGGCCATCCAGAGGGGTGTGCCTGCAGAGGTATTCCCACCCCAAGCCCCCCTACCCCTTCCTTCCAAGCCCTGGGGCTTCCAGGAAGCCAAGGAGATGCAACCAACTCTGGCTGGCTGTCCTCACAGTCGCCCCCAGCCCCCTCCTTCCTGCAGGCTGAAGGGGCCCTCCCGGTGGCCCCCACATCGTGGATCTCAAACGCCCTTTCTCTGTGCAGATGTTTGGAATCTGGGTGCACAAGGGGGTCAGGTGTGGCCCCAGCGGGAGTGAGCCCTGTGGCACCTCCAAGACAGCCAGGTCTCCAGCCTTGGGAACAGAGGAACGGCAGGATCTGCCCCCAAAGCCGTCTCCCACCTGCCGACAGGCACCCCTGGCCCTGGGGACACTCCCGGCCACACTTAGTCCGGTGCTGCTCAGGCCTGGCAGTGCAAAGCAGGCCAGGGGGTGCTGAGGCCAGGGGTCTCTGCGTGCCAAACATGTGCTCCAGCTCTGTGGCCCACATCCCTGTCCCCGAACTGAGTGGGCATCCTGAGGGGTCCAGCACTGTCACCCTCCAGGGCCAGCTCTGTGCCAGCCAAGCGTTCCTGGACAGCGGCCAGCATGGCCTGGAATTCCCATCACGTGACCTTCCCCTTCCTCCTGAGAAAGTCCCATCCTGAGCCCCGCACTGCCCGGAATCCTTCCCCAGGCACAGTCCACCCTGAAACCCCCCCTGGAAGGGAGCCCCCACCCACCCTGGATCGAGCAGGTGTCCCAGAACATTGTCCTGCACAATCGAAGCCACTGGCAGAGGCTGGAGCAGGTGCAGCAGATAGAGCGTTTGCCTTGCACACAGCCAGCCGGGTTCAATCCCGGGCATCCCATATGCCCCCCTTCCAACTCCACCAAGAGTAATTCCTGATTCAAGAGTGACCCCTGAGCATCGCCAGGTGTGGCACCAAAAAAAAAAAAAGAGTCTAAGCCACTTGGCCAGCACAGCAGCCTCCTGGGTATTTGGGGTACTCTCCGCTGTTAGCTTAAAGAATTTCAGGGGAGCACTGATTTGTTTCCAAAAGGGGAGGAAGCAGATACCCTCTGCGCCAGATTAAAGGGGAACCTGAACTGGGCAGAACCGCCAGGCACAGTCTGGGCACATCCTTCGGGGGCCTGGGAGATAGCTCAGTGGTCAGGGGGTATGTGAGCTGCATGTACCGGGGCCTGAGCATGAGTCCTGGCACCACATGGTCACCCAGGTGGGCATTGTCGAGCTGTCCCTGAGTCCCCCCGATGGCGCTTGGGAGCCCCCAAGAGAGGAAGCTTCCTCAGCCCCACCCCTGTGTGTATGTGCTGGGCCCGAGTGGCGTGTGCATCTCTGCCTGTGGACCGGGGTGAGAACCCCAACCCCCTCTGGGCCGGGGGTGCTTGGGCGGGTTTGTCCCATGGCTGTGTCCCGTCACCCTGACTTGCTGGGGGATGACAGAAGGACAGGTCGGTTTCTCAGGATCGCCCCCTTCATTCCCCTCTGTGTGGGGAGTGGGGGTGCCAGAGCCCCCATAAGACCTAGAGGGCATAAGGAGACAGGGGGCCACTTGCCACCCTTCCTGTGGTTCCCAGGCCTCCAGGCCCAAGGTCAGCATCCCGCTCTCGGCCATCATGGAGGTCCGCACCACCATGCCCCTGGAGATGCCCGAGAAGGACAACACCTTCGTCCTCAAGGTGAGTGCTGACCCTTGACCCCTGACCTCTGAACCCATACGGTGTGCAGTACCACCAAGTTAGAAGGGGCTCATGATTAGGGGACTACCACTCTCCCACCGGCACCCTGGCCTGGGTTTGGGGGTGACACCTGAGGGGACGCCACGCTCTTCAGGATGGCTCCCCTGCCCTCCCATGAGGAGGCTTGGGACAAGTCCGTCCTTCTGGGGTAGATGGGCCGGGGTCCTGACCAGCCATCTGTGCCCACCTCCACAGGTGGAGAATGGAGCCGAGTACATCCTGGAGACCATCGACTCGCTGCAGAAGCACTCATGGGTGGCTGACATCCAGGGCTGTGTGGACCCCGGGTGAGTGCCCCTGGGAGGTTGGGGTGGCCATGTCCGGCCTCCCAGAAGGAGTTAAGGTAGGGCACAGCTGAGCTGAGGGGAGGTGGGGTGGTGGCTGAGGAACGGCAGGAGCAGGGGATTTCAGCAAGAGCAGGGGAGCTGGGGCGGGGGCTGTGGGGAGCCGGGCAGGTCCTCTGCGCCCAGGGGAGCAGGAAGGCACAGGCTGAGGACTTGGCAGCAGGTCTGCTAATGGGGTGAGTTGGGCCAGGAGGAGCCCCCCCCCCTTGCTTTCTAATTAACAGCTCTGCTTGCAGAAGCCCAATTACAGTCCTGTGCGCCTCCCAGGTCCCAGCCCCCAGTGACTATAACCTCTCCTGGGCCCCGCCCGGCCATCTGCCCTGTCCCTTCCTGCCCTGGCCTTCTGTTCCGGAGATGGCTGAGTCCCTGACACCTCATAACAAGCGGGGGTGGTGGGGTGGGTGGCTGGAGTGATAGCACAGCAGGGAGGGCATTTGCCTTGCGCGCAGCCAACCCGGGTTCGATTCCCAGCATCCCATATGGTCCCCTGAGCACTGCCAGGAGTAATTCCTAAGTGCAGACCCAGGAGGAACCCCTGAGCATCACCAGGTGTGACCCAAAAAGAAAAAAAACGAGCGGGGGGGAAGGGACAAAGACCCCCCTGGCCACTGAGCCCAGGGCTGGGACTTGTGGCCTCTGGGATGGCAGCCAGCCTCATGAGCTAAGGGACATGGAGGGCCCAGAGTCATGCTGTGCTCCCGGCCTTCAGGGACAGCGAGGACGATGCCGAGTCATCCTGCACGCGCGGGGGCTGCCTGGCCAGCCGCATGGCCTCCTGCAGCTGCGAGTTTCTGACAGACGGTAGGTGGGGGGGGCGTCCCCCAAGCTGGGGCGGCGGGAGGAGGGACCCACCTGCCCGGCGCATCTCACCTGCCTCTCTACAGCAGCAGACCTGCCCCGGCCCCCCGAGACCACGGCGGCTGTGGTGACCGCCCCACACGGCCGCTCTCGAGACGCGGTAGGGGAGGGCCTGGCCCACGTCCCGCTGGAGACCTTCCTGGAGAGCCTGGAATCTCCGGGTGGCAGCAGTGGTGGCGGTGACAGCAGTAACACAGGTGCGAAGCCGGGGACAGCCTGCCAGCCCAGGTGCCCATCTGGCCCGGACCCTTCGATGATGCCTCCCCAACCGCCCCAGGGCTTAGTCTACGTCAGGGCCTTGGCCCCGTGTCCTGGCTTGCAGGAGGGGCTTGGAGCGCTTGAAAACTAGGGATCGGGGGCAGGTGCAGCTGACTTGTCACCAGCTTTTGTGTCTGAGAAACTGACATATCCAGTCTCTGTTCCATGCCTCAGTTTACTTCCATATGCTTAATGACGGGGATGGGATCAGCAGTCTTGTCTGCTTCTAAAAGGCTTCAAAGTGCACGTTACTGCAGACATCAGACATCCCTACACCATGCAGGGCACCCCTCTGTCTCTACCTCCCCAGTCCCCAACTATGACCCTCACAGTGTCCCCTCTGACCCCAGGGGATGAGGGAGCGGAGCAGGAGTCCGAGGCTGAGCCACCGCTGGAGCTGTCGGGCTACCCCTGGTTCCACGGCACCTTGTCCCGGGTCAGGGCAGCCCAGCTGGTCCTGGCAGGCGGGCCCCGGAGCCATGGCCTCTTCGTCATCCGGCAGAGCGAGACACGGCCTGGGGAGTACGTGCTGACCTTCAATTTCCAGGGCAAGGCCAAGGCAAGTGGCAGCTGACCCCTGGGGAGGACGGGGGTGGCCTGGCCCGCACCCCAACCAGGCTGCCGTGCCTCCGAGCCCTGTCACCCTCTTCAGTGGCTCCACCATGCCACCCGCCCCGGGGAGCCCAGAGTTTCCCTGGGTCCTCTGCCTTGGGGATCGTGCAGCTCTGGGGGGCCTGGGAGCAAGGTGGGGGTCCTCTCCAGCCCCTGGGGGCAGATCACCCAGCAGCGACTCCTCTCCCTTCCCATGGAATGTACTCGAGGGTTAAGGGTTAGGGCACCCTTGAGAGCTGGTCAGAGAATGGGGAGCGGGGGAGCCGAGGCTGGCTGCAACCCCCCACCCGCCCCCCAGTCCCAGAAAGCACTTTGGGGTAAAGGAAATGGAGGGGTGAGGAGAAGGCACGGGTGTGGGTGCCAGGGCCCCACCACTAAGGACCCCATTACTGTCAGCTCTGCGAGAGGGGCCCTGTAGGCTTTGCAGGATTTCAGGGCAAGGTGAGGACCCCACGCCCTCGCCTAGGCAACGATGCCACCCTACCTCCCCCCCCCCCCCCCCCCCCCCCCCCCCGCAAGATGCTCCCTGGGGAGAGCGGCTGCCTTTGGCAGGGCCGCTGAAGGCCATGAACCCAGGCCTGACAGCAGCCAGCGCGCACCGCTGGGCCTAGGAGACCTCCCCGCAGTGACCCGAGCACCCGTAGCCCCGCCCCCAACCACGCCTCCTGCGCCCGCAGCACCTGCGCCTGTCGCTGAACGGCCGTGGGCAGTGCCACGTGCAGCACCTGTGGTTCCAGTCGGTCCTGGACATGCTGCGTCACTTCCACACTCACCCCATCCCCCTGGAGTCGGGGGGCGCCGCCGACATCACCCTCCGCAGCTACGTGCCGGCCCAGGACCCCACGCCCGGTAAGACAGTCCCCACCTGGCCCGGGCGAAGCTGACTTGGGGAGAGCGAGGGACCGCGGTACCCAGCCCTGGCCTCCCCACCACCACCCGGGGTTCGGAGGAGGCGGCATCCGGGGTTCCCTAGCTCCTGCGGGGACGGGGATGGGCGGGCGGGGACGGGCGACGCCGCTGACCGGTCCCCTGTTGCAGACCCGGGCCCCGCGCCCACGCCCCCAGCCTGCTGGAGCGAGCCGGCCGGCCAGCACTACTTCTCCAACCTCGCCGCCTGCCCGCCTGCCTCGCCCTCAGACCCGGGCGGCGCGTCCTCATCATCCGCCTCATCGTCGGCCGCGTCGGTGCCAGGCGGCCCGGGCGAGCGGCTGCTGGAGGCAGCGGGAGGCTCCGAGGAGCCCCCCGAGGCGGGCACGGGCCGTGCCCGCGCCGTGGAGAACCAGTACTCATTCTACTAGCGCCACGCTCTTCAGTGAAGACAGAACCGTATTAAAGAGCCTGTTTTAGGGACTGCAACCCGCGCTCCTGTGCTCCTTCCCGCGGCCCCTGCTGGCCCCCGCGCCTGGCCCTGACCCCCGCGACCCCCAGCTGTTCTCCTCCCACATCCCCACCTCCGACCGGGTCCTGAGCGCGGTGTGAGGCGGGTGGGGAGCCAGGCGGCCCCTCCATCCTCAGAGAGGTGTATTCTGGGTACGGGAAGGGTCCAAGGTGCCCACCCCCTCCCTGCTATTTCAGGGGGCTGGGGGGTCCCAGTGCCGCAGGGAGAGCGGCTCAGAGGGCTCCAGGGTAAAGAGAGGGTGAGGGTCCCCCGCCCCCGACCTTGGGGGGGGGGGTTCCCTTCCCAGCAACTGCTCCAGGCAGACCGAGAAGCGGGCCGGTTGCCAGGGTCCTTCCCACAGTGAGGGGACACCGCGGCATTTGCTGTGGGAACCAGGTATGTGTGCGGGGAAGGGACAGAAGCACCCACCCGTCACAGGAGACCAGCCAGGGGGTCACTGCCCCCCCCAGCACCAATTTTTTGTGGAGGATCACATCTGGCAATGCTCAGGAATTACTCCCAGCCGGACTTGGGGACCATATGGGATGCTGGGATCAAGCTGGGTCCTCTGCCTTCCCCACTGTGTTCCCACTCCGCCAGGTGCCTGTCTCCTCAGAAAGGGGGGTGGTATGGCCCCACAACTCCAGCAGACTCCATGCAGACAGTTTGAGGCCCTTGGGGAAAGAATTGGTTTTCTGGGCTCTGGCAGACTCCTGGGGGCTGCAGGACAGGCCCATGTGCCCTTGGGCTGTGCATCCCCACCTGTCCCCAGCCCTCCTTCCTAAAGCCCCTTCCCTTTCTGTTGCTTGTGGTGGTCGCACATACTTGGGTGCATGTCCCTGAGGTCTTACGGTCACATGCAGAATAGGGGAGGTGAGGCCAGGCGCCCGCTGCCAAGGCACTATCCACATGGGATCCCACACCTTCTTGTGCCCCCCATAGGTGCTGGGGATCAGACTCAGCAGACTCTTCACCCTCAGACTTTCCTGAACACCCTCCCCCATTTTTTTCTTTTTTCGTAATTTAATTATTTATTTTGCTTTGGGGCCATACCCGATGATGCTCAGGGATCACTCTCCTGGCAGTGCTCAGGGAACAATATGCAGTTTGGGGATCAAACCTGAGTGGTAGATGCCCTACCTGCTGTACCCAGAAACAAATTTTTTACCATGAAATATGAGCCAGAAATTCTTTCTTTCCTCTTCTTTCCTTCTTTCTTTCTTTTCTTTCTTTCTTTCTTCCTTTCTTCCTTCCTTCCTTTCCTTCTTTCTTTTTTCTTTCTTTCCTTCATTCCTTTTTTCTTTCTTTCCTCCTTCCTTCCTTTCCTTCTTTTTTCTTTCTTTCCTTCATTCCTTCTTTCCTTCATTCCTTCTTTCTTTCCCTCTCCACACCAGCAAAGCTCAGAGGTTACTCCTGCTCTACACTCAGATCCCCTCCTGCAGGGCTCAGGGGACCTTATGGGATGCCAGGGATTGAACCCTTTTCAACCATGTGCAAGGCAAGTGCCTTACCTGTTGTCCTATCTGTCCAGCCCCCAGAATTTCTTCTAAAAGGGGAAAAAAAAAGATTTATCTGCTCCAATGTTTCATTCCTCACTTTTTCTTTTAAAAATAATTTTGTTTTTCTTATTTATTTTTGGTTTTGCTTCACCCCCAGCAATGCTCAGGGCCTGCTCCTGGCTCTGCACTCAGGAATCACTTCTAGCGGGGCTCAGCTGACCATATGAGATGCTGGGGATCGAACCCAGGTTGCCAGTGTGCAAGGCAGACATTCTCCCCTTGTACTATCACTGTCACTCTGAGCCCCTCTTTGGTTTTCTTTTGTGGGTCTCGCCCCCACCACAGTTGGGGTTCTTTCCTCCTGTGGCTCAGACCCCTTTGGCATATAGGGGATTCCCTGCCCTCCACTCAGCACGGTGCTGGGGAATTCATGAAGTGGAGTACATAAGCTTGCAGAGAAGATCAATTAGACCAAAACTCCGCCAAAATATCCAGTCAAACGGGAATCAAAATATTTTTTAAATTGTGATATGGTAATATGTGTGCTTCTTTATTAATACTTTAAATAGCAGTCTCTGGCACGGCTCCGAGAACTGCGCATTTTAAAGTATGATGAGTTTGTAAGTGATGCGGCGAAGTTCTTGCAAGAACCACAGTCTGTGAGGAAAGTTCCCCAGATCCTGCCGGCAGCAAATCCACCCAGGCAGTCATCCTGTTCGTTCTCCTCAGGGAAAGAAAGATCATTTCCAGCTCTGGGTGACTGAAGCTAAAGACTGGAGCAATAGTCCATGGAGGAAGTGCTTGCTCTGCATATGGTGCCCTGAGCACTCGCAGGAGAGTTCCCTGAGCCTGAGCCAGGAGTCATCCCCGAACACTGCCCAGGGTGCCCCCTCAGCCCCACACCCATGACATTTTGGTCCATGAACTTGCTGATTGGTTCTTCCAAGAACCAGCTCAGAATCTCAGGTCGTGCTCCAAAAGCAAGGTTCCGTGTGTTTGAAATGGAACATTCTGGAAGCTCGGGGAACCCATCGTGTGACGAGTGGCTGGCTGCCCGCCATGGGAGGAGCACTCAGCCAGCCCCGACTGAGAATTCTGCTGTTACCAGAGGGTGTAGACAGGACCCAGGCCAGCCAGCAGAGAGGGACCTGGGGCGATTCTGGAAAACGTCCTTACAGCAATGCCTCATCATCCCTGCCTGGGACTGGATGGAAAGAGGTGATGAAAGAAACTCAGGCAGGGAGTGTGGCCTGACTCTAGATGGAGCGCCTGCCTCGCATGAGCGAGGCCCTGGGGTCGGGCTCCAGCACCGCAAAAATTAAAGAGAAGCATTGAAATGCCTAAGCAGTGCCGCTGTGGTTGGATGCACGCTGAAGGCGAGTTCGATTCTTGGCACCACACAGAAAACAGTTTTAAAACTTGTGTCATTGTGATATTTAAGTCTACAGTAGCTTTCATGCTGGTGAAGACTAGAAGTTCTTTTGACGTAATAAACCCATCGACCTAATTGCTGTAAATCCTTCCCCAGAATATTTGGTCTAAAAACAAAACTCACGGATGTTTTCATGCTCCCCATGTGACAGCCCCCATGAGAGGCATCAGCGTGGGAGGAAGTGGATGATAAGGGAGAGACTGAGGCAGTACAGCGGGTGCACACGTGCCTCGCACACAGGACACACGGCGGACCCAGGTTTGATCCCCAGCACCTCGTATAGTGCCCTGAGTGCCACCAGGAGTGATCGCTGAGCACAGAGCAAGGAGTCAGGACTAAGCCATGCAGGGCGTGGGCCCTCCCCACACAAAAATGGGGGAGCGGAGGAAAACACAGGCTTTGCTTCCCAACACTGGCTTTCAGCACACCGGCCACTGGCAGTAACAACAGAAAATCAGAGAGGGGGAGTCCCCCAGGCTGGCCGGAAGCAGAGCATCCTGGTGTCTCCGGGGAAGGGGGCAGCATTGTGGCTGGGAAGTCAGAGTAGCTGGAGTTCTCCAGAAGGAGAAGCTGCTGGGAAGAGGCCCCTGGAGATGCCAGCCCACACGTGGGGCACCCCCATCACATGAGGAGGGACCCAAGGCAGGGGGGCATGCCTGGGGTCCACGCAGGCAGCTGCAGCACCACCCTTAGCCCTTGCCTTCGCCACATGGGGAATGAGCCCTGGACCGAGAGAACTCAGGCTGGCCAAAGCTGAAGTGTGAAACCGAAGAGGAACACGCTGTGGTCACAAAAACAGATGGAAGGCTGTCTAGAAAGTTCCAGAAGCACCCAGCATCCTGCTTACTCCAGTGACAACCTGGCAGCCCATTGAAACTGACAGGAAGAGAAAATGCTCCTAGCAAGGAGAAAAGTCCTCCAGAACTGACTCTTATGACAGATACTGACAGAGGTATGCTATGGAAGCCCCCCTCATTTGGGGGGCAGTGGGCCTTCTAAACAGCGCACTCCTGGCTGTCCACACCGAGCAGAGCCCAGGGGTATCCAGGGCTACGCCTGGTGGTGCCCAGGACAAAGCCAGGGCCTGGAGTGTGCAAAGTATGCGCTCCCATCCTTACCCCACCACCCCCCAACCAGGCGGGCCAGGAGTCCCCACACCCCAAGTCACTCTCTTCAACTTCCCTTTATTGTGGTCTGAAAATATTGTGTACGCTAAGATGTTTTTGACAGATAAGGTCCCTATGTTGTTCTGGTTTATTTATTAACCTTTCACTGTGCCAGTGTATAAGGGGAACTTTACCCTTGGTATGTATTTCTAGGGAGAAACATGACGGCTCGGGGCTTTACACTGTCTGTGCCTTCAGGCGCCTGCTTCGGAGAAACTAAGAACAGACCCAGAGATTAAGTGAGGGACTCAGGTATTTATATTTGAAAGCTGGCGGAAGGGCTGGACGTGTCCAAAGGGCTGGGATGAGTGATGACCGTGCACGCAAGAGCCCTGGGTTCGATCGTCAGCATCACCTGGTCCTCAAGCTCAGCTAAGTGTCATCCCCAAAAAGAGAAAACGAGAAGCTAAAGGAGGAATTGAATTTGTGGGAGAGACTGCAGAGTATCGAATTGAAGCTTCTAGCCCAGAAACAACAAGGACTGAAGAAGGGAAAGGCCAAAAATCCAATTGGTGGCTTGTAGGGTTTTGCAATAAAGGGTTCCCGGACCTGGAGGCCCGCGAAGAATCACTGCAAGTGACACACAGAGGAGAGACTGAATCCAGATTTCAGAGCAGCTCGCGCCTGTTTTAAGTTCGTGCCAGGAGGCAGACACAGCAGGAAGTGGGCCAGAGGTTAGTGGGGTGAGGGAGTGGGCCTCAAGGGCAAGTCTCTGCTCGGATGGTGGAAAGTTTGCTGAGAGTTGCACAACAGCACGGCACTAATTGATGCCACTGAACCGTGCACTGAGAAATGTCTCCGGAGGCAGATTTCATGGGACAATAACTAAAGTTAAGCAATGGTCTTTTGTGTGTGTATGGAGGGAGGGCTCCTGG